CCCCCTTGGGAATCACACCCAAGCAAAGACTAGATTTATGAAAGTATATAAAAGTACAGTTTTGCTGCCAAGACATCAACCCCAAACTGAAGACCTCATGCCCTCTCATTCCTTCTATGCCTCCACTGGTATTGTCCCACTGTGGCAGAGACCATGAAGCATCACAAAAATCTCACATGGCTTCTGCCCCCGGCCCCAGACGCCCTCCTCTTGATGTTAGTACATGGCTATACGTCTAAACCGTAGGCCTTTGCTACTCAAGGACCAGTGCGTTGGGTATTACCAGGAGCTTGTTAGAAATGCAGAATCTCCATGCTGTCCCAGATTATTGAATCAGAATCTGCATTCTAACGAGATCCTCAAGTAATTTGTATGCTCATTGAAATTTGAGAGGCTCTGACATCAGAAATAGCTAGAATTAACTATGTTTAAAGCAGTGGTTGTCTTTCTAACACATTCCCATTTTGGTTCCTCTTTTGCTGTTTAAAAAAAATGGGGACAAGGAGGAAGACTGAGCAGACAGAGGCAAAGTTGTACTAGGGCTGTGGTGAACAGCCAGAAAGACATGCCTGCCTATGTAATCATCAGGCTTTTGGGTTTTCTCTCCCCTCCCCTCCTCTCACCTGCCCTCCCCTCCCATCCCCTCTCTTGCCCTCCCCTGCCCAGGCTGGGGCTGGGACCTGGAGCCCTCTCAGATCTCTCTCCATTGGTATACCCATCCCAGGTGAATACTCCACCCACCAGCCAGAAGGAATGGGAAAAGGAGCAAATTAAATTCCTTCTTTTAACCTTTTTGCTACAGTAAATATGCCAATCCCACAGCAAGCTCTTTAGGGAAGTAAAATTTCAGACAACTTTGAAGGGAAAAAATTAATTACCACATTTTGTGTGTCTAGAAAGAAAATAGAAATTTTCCTTGGGGGAAATGAAGGGACAGAGAAGGGGGAGGTGGGGCAGGAGAAGTGGAAGCTATACGTCCACCTCTCGGGAATTCACCCACAACAGAAGATACCACCATGTGGGAGATCTGCTTGCAGGAAGATCTGGAAGGAAGACTGCAGATGTCTGTATAACAACTAACACTTGGATCATGGCACATAGGTTAAGGCTTCAGCAACAGAAGGGAGTGCCTGGGTGGCTCAGCCTGGTAAGCACCTGCCTTCTGCTCAGATCATGATCCCAGGGTCCTAGGATGTAGCCCCATGACCACACTGGGCTCCGCAGGGAACCTGCTTCTTCCTCGAACCCCCTCCCTGCTCATGTTCTCTCTCTTTCTCTGTCTCAAATAAATAAATAAAATCTTTAAAAAAAAAAAAAAAGGCTTTAGCAACAAAAGAGAAGAAAACTTGTCTCCAAAATTAAAAAATTAAAAAGGGGCTCTACATGGACAAAAAAAAGTCACTCTGAAGCAGAAGAGGCACAGTGCCCCAGTGCGGTCCTGGAACCCTGGTTCAACATATTTGTATAGGACATTTAAAAATCAAACACAGGGGGCAGCCTGGGTGGCTCAGTGGTTTAGCGCCTCCTTCAGCCCAGGGCCTGCAGGCTCGGGATCCAGTCCCACGTGGGGCTCCCTGCAAGAACCCTGCTTCTCCCTCTGTCTCTCTCTGTCTCTCTCTCTCTCTGTCCCTGATGAGTAAATAAATAAAATCTAAATAAATAAATAAATAAATAAATAAATAAATAAATAAATAACACAAATGGTATTCCTCACGTGCCCTTTGTCTCGGCCTCCTGGGAGCTTATGACAAGATTTTGGGCAGAGTCTGGAATGGGATGGAGAATGTTCCTCTTGGATGAGAGCCTCCCTCCCACACAACCTCAGACAGAAGCAGCTAGGCAAACTGACACCTGGATCATCAGGAGTCCCAGTAGATGCCTCTCAGTCAAGGCAGCAAGCTAAGTTGACACAGAAAGCATACCCCCACCTCACAGCCATTTCAAACACATAGGAATGCTGGATAAAACCGAATAACATGTTTTTTTAAAAAAATCTTTAGCCAAAATAGAGCATGGAAATTAAGAAAGAACTCACAAGTGCTGGAAATGAGCAAAGAACTCAAAGCCAACTCCCAAAATGGGTGAGAGTTGATGCTACATGACTCAAAGGGGATTTTCACTAGATATGCATCATGTTGTTTGTATTTTAACCTCCTGTGGGAAGCATCAGATGCCATACCTATAGATATTTGAACTGAGCTCACTACATAAAAGAAATAGAAATACTGCCTTTGCTAGCCCACAAACACCAAACAGAATGTGCCACTGATTGTACACCAAGGATGGAAAAGAAATCACCTTTCTAAGTTATACTAGAAGCTGAGCTCCCCTAGAATAGCTTTGGTAATAAGTTCTGTACCATGCAATACCCCCAAGCCAGGAAAAACTGGGAGAAGCACAGATCATACATGGTTCTACAATCACCTTCTAGTATGACTTAGAAAGTTCCTGCCAGGCTAACCCTCCTATACATAACAAATATAAGCTCTGTTTAAAAAACTAAATGCAAAAAACAACCACCCAAAGCCACCAAAGAGCAAACAAAGACAGGCATATTCAGGAGGAGAGATGACAATTGGAAGAAGAAAAGGCATAAGACAAGTTTCCCATTTTGGTGGCTTCTGGCCCAAATGAAGGCCAAAGTCAGGCAGCATGGAGCATCTAAAGCTCTGTTAGAAAACCTGCATTCTTTATAGCCTGAGGAATCAAAGAACAGGGTTCATAAAAATCAGTGCCATCATAAAATGAGAAGAGACTCTTGTAATAGACCCAGAGAGGTAATGTACAAATTTTGTATGTAAACTTTCCCCTAAATCTCTGATTAAATCCTGAACTATACAAGTACAGGGCTAACTTACAAATAGCCACTTTAGTATAAAAAACTACATGGAGATTTGGGATGCCCCCAAGACAGAGTTTGTAGTAGGAGTATAAGCAAGTCAACTGTTTACACAAACAAATTCAATACTTTTTGGAAGAACATAATGGAATCCAGAGTCTCTAAAATATAACATTCACAACATATGGAATAGAATAAAAATTATTTGACTTGCACATGACATGACCCATTTTTCATAAAGAATGCAATCAGGGAGACGGACTTCAAAATAACTCCAGTGTTGGAATTAGCAGATAAGGATTTTAAAGCAACTATTGTAACTATGCTCAAACACACAAAAGAAAATGTGCTCATAATGAGTTTTCATTATGATAGGAAATCTCAGCAGAGAAGTAGAAATTATTTTTTAAACAGGAACTCTAGAAAATATAAAAATTTTGAAAATACAAAATCTGAAGCTTTCTAAAAATATAATATGTGAACTTAAAATGGAGATGACGGGGAATCATCAGTTAACTTGAAGACAGATAAATAGAAATTATCCAAGAACAAATATAAAGAAGTTTAAAGGGATCCCTGGGTGGCACAGCAGTTTGGCGCCTGCCTTTGGCCCAGGGCGCGATCCTGGATACCCAGGATCGAATCCCACGTCGGGCTCCCGGTGCATGGAGCCTGCTTCTCCCTCTGCCTGTGTCTCTGCCTCTCTCTCTCTCTCTCTGTGACTATTATAAAAAACAAAAAAAAATTAAAGAAGTTTAAACAAAAACAAAACCTTGGGGATTCATAGGATAATATCAAAAAGAAACAAGAAAGACGAGAAGACAGTGCCATGATACTATTAAGGTACTGAAAGAAAAACTGTTAACCTAAAACTCCATACCCAGCTCAAATATCTTTCAAGGCTGAAAGCAAAATATAGTTTTCTGATAAAAGGAAACCATGAGAATTTATTACCAGCAGATCCACACTACAAAATAATTGCTAAAGAAATTTCTTCAAACTGAAGGGAAATGATGCCAGATGGAAACTAGGATCTTCAGGAAGAAATGAAGAGCAACAGAAACAGACCTTATTAAGTAAAACTTTGTATATTACTAATTATAAAGCAAGGTTCAAAGCCTGAAAATTTGAGCAGTCAGTGCACTGCTTCTAGGCTTCCACTGTAGCCACCACAGCAGTTCTGGGCAGCTGTCAGTGTTCCACATTCCCCCACATAACTGAGAGTATCAATCCACATTAAAGAAGTAAATATCTGCTTATGTATAATAGTAATGGGCAAATCTTAGAGTCTCTAAACCCAATACTAAACCAGGAAATTCTTTTTGTTTATTTAAAGAGTTATTTACTTATTTGAAAAAGAGAGAGAGCATGAGTGCAGGGAGGGGGAAGAGGGAGAGGAAGAGAGAATCCTCAAGCAGTCAGCTAAGCACAGAGCCCAACACAGGACTTGATCCCAGAACCCTGAGATCATGACCTGATGTGAAATCAAGAGTCCAATGCTTAAATGACTGAGCCACCCAGATGTCCCTAAACCAGGAAATTCTTAACTTTGGAAATCAATTGAAAGAACAATTGTGAAAATGTTATTCTGCAGACATTTGATATAGAAGTAGAAGCTTCCAGGATGCAAATGTCCTCATGATCCCCATATCTCAAAGGCACCTCTTAATAAGTCCCTAGATGTTCAGCAAAATCAATACAAAAGACAAAGGAATAATCAATGGCCATTCTCTGCATGTCTTGTCCCATATTAGGAGGTAATGTCAGCTTTAAAAAAAAAATCCTTTTTCATTTCGTATTTCCCACCAAGCTATCAGTTTGTTAGACATCTCTTCTTACATGTTAACCTCCCCTTTATTGTGTGTTAACATTAAATATTTTGTGTGACACATGTCTTTCTTTGTTCTATGTTTATGGTTGAAGTAGGTATTAGGAAAAAGGTCAATTCCATAGTTTTTGGTTCTGAACCAGAATGTGCTAGGGAATGAGAGACTTCTCAGCTTCTGGAAGAATAACAGAAGAAAAAGAAAGAAAGAAAAAAACAGAAGAAAAAGAAAGAAAGAAAGAAAGAAAGAAAGAAAGAAAGAAAAGAAAAGAAAAGAAAAGAAAAGAAAAGAAAAGAAAAGAAAAGAAAATGTAATTTTAAGCCTAGCACATTGAATTGACTGAAAACACCTGCTAAAATAACTTCTCCACCCTAGGGTAATAGGGAGAATCATATGTATATATGAAAGCTGCAGGGAGATAAGATTTTAAAAGAAATGAAACTAATTTCACTCTGCTTTTAATCACCTAGAAACTATTTCACAAAAGGATTACAGAGTATCAATTAGTCATCATCATTAATGGCAAATGGTTCAACTCTCCCCTCCCTTTAAGTATATTTCCCTTCTGGTTGTGGAAGAAAAGCCTTTCTGAAGCAACAGTCCCCAGTCCCTTCAAGGAAATTGCTGGGCTCCTGTAATGGAAAGTTTAGCTTCAGAGAGCTGCTGAGGAGCGTGGCTTGCAGAAGAGGGCAGGACAGACAAGGAGTAAAGATACTACCGTGAGCCCTACAGCTGACTGTCCTCCAGTCCCCTGCTCTGATTCATGTTGCCATGGAATGGAAACTCTAAAAAGAAACTGAACATGAGACTCCTCCACAGAGGAACAAAGCTTTAACATCCTCTTTCCAAATAGGAAGGTAGCTCCCCTTTATCTGAACCTGAGGATTGGCATTTAATTTATTGTCTTCCAAAGTGAGTTTCGTGCACATAATAGATTTTCAAGGTTCACTTGAATCTCACTCACTGAATAAATATGTATTTAATGTCTATTTTACACCGACATAAAGAAAATATACTGTTAAAATACATTTATGAATCATGTAGCAAAATATTGTTTTAATTGTCAAAGAGAAAAAGAAAAAAATTGTCTGAAAAAAAATGAAATACTCCATACATATGCACCCACATTCCAGGACATATGCGAGCTTCCCACACAAAAATTTCTGTCACTAAACATAAGCTCACTAACAATGGTTGAATAAAGCCTATTAGATCTTCAGATTTACGCAGTTGAATGTCTGTTCTTCGACAGTGCTAACTTATGTTCCTCACCTGCAGACATCTCATCCCTAAACTCTTTGTAATGTCTGATAATTACCTTCTTTATTGCTTAACCTAATTTCAGTTGGGATTTACTATTACTTAAAGCCAATGCATCCTAATCAAAACAAACATGGACACCCAAGCCAAGCTTTCATCAGAGACCATGGGTGGATACAACTTCTGCAGAAATATCCACTGTGCCCCATGGGTTTGGTGAACATGAGGAGAGTGAAAACCAAAGCATGTCCTAGCACATCCCATCTCAAGGGAAGAAAAGTGGGAAAGAACAAGTTTACTTCAAGGGTGAGTAGGGTTGATTCTGGGTGCAATATGATGGCTCCATTCTAGTTGTCTTCTAACCTACTGTGCACAGAGTAGTATCTGAATTCTAGGGTAAGTGCACTACAAAAAGAAGCAAAATATTGACAACTACTTCACTAAAATCTCCATGACATACTTTGAGAGGTACTAGTAGCTTTAGTACCATGACCTGGCTGTATCAGGAGATGGAACTAGTTTGCCCAGAAGGAAGAGTGGTCTTTAAAACTTGGGAGCTAAGCTAGCATTGAATCTTCTTGTTTAGAGCCAGGGACAACAAATGGTTGGATCTTAAGTGCCAACTCAGACTGATTCCAATTAACTGTGGTTAGAAGGACTCAGGCTTGAGAGAATGCCACGATCAATGGGCAATGTCTGTCATAGAACTGGCTGGGGAATGGCAGCACATATGCCACACACTTACTCTCCTGAATCCCTCTGAGATGGAACTCAGACAACCATTCCCTGCATCACAGTGAGGATATGCTTCTATCAACACCCTGTGTTATACATTCAAAAATCTTGTATTTATTTTTTATCTCCTCTTAAGCAAGGATATACTTGTAAAAGTGCACTGTCTTCAGCCAATCCAGTCCTTATTGAACAATTCACCAAACCCAAGAGCCATTCTCATCACATTTATTGTCCCTTATGCTTCAGAGCACTTAACAATCCTCAACTATTGCTATTTCTTGAAAAGCAACAGCACTCCACCTAGTGAATTTCACTTCAGAATCTTAGTACTATTGTTGTTTTTAGGATTATTCTTGTCTTCTTGCTTCGTGCTAAAGATTTTAACCATGCGTAGATTTGACATGCTTCAAAACTTCTTTTGTTCTTTCAGGGAGCTTTTGGAGAGGGTCCAACTTCATAATGTCCCTGTGAAGCAAGGCCATGCAGAATCCTTTGAATTTACTTCCACAAATATTTCTTGAGTACCTACTTTGTACCAGGGGCCATGGCAGGTACAGAGATAAATAAAAAAGAAAGTATCATTTGTTGAGATCCTGCTGTGCTATGTAATGTGCCAATACCATGTTGCGGACATTGAAGTGTTTCAGCTCATTTCATTTCCATAACAACCTCCCAAAGCATCATTATCACAAACACAGCAGAGGAAACTGAGGCTCAGGGAGGTTACGTGACTTGCAGATTCACTCATCTAGTGCTTATCAAAGCTGGAATTCGAATCCTATCCGTCTGATTCAAGGCCAGTGATGTTTCAATGGACCATGACATAAGGCCAAATTAGAAGCATGGTTCATAGGAAAGTGGGAGGAGGGGTCTTGGGAAATTTGGAATCAGAGCACTTCCTAGCAAGGTATGTGAAAGTGGGCCAGTTATTAACCATTCTTAGCCTCAGCAGCCCAGTCAACACAGGCTAATATCTACCTCGCGGGGTTGTTGCAAGGATTAAGGTGATATGTGTAAAGCACCTAGCACATGGCAACCTATAAAAGAATAGCTATTCACATCCATGTTAATTACCATTTCTCAAAGAAGTGGGAGTCATTTTCCTATACACTGAATTTTCAGAGCTTGCATTGGGTACAGATTATGAAATCTGGGATCAAAATTAACAAGCTTTTGTTATATGGCTTTGAGAAAGCACGTGGTTGTCTCAAGAATCTCAGGAGGGTCTGCAAGAAGAGAAAATCCCAAATCAGAGGCAAGTTTGAAGACTTGTTTTCCTACTTCCAAGTCCTCCTTCAGCAGAACTGCTGGCCAGGAATGACAAAAGGACTCCCATTGTTGAGCATGCTCGTTTTTGCATGAAAAGTGATAAGCAACAGAACCACCAGGTCTGGCCCCCTGGAATAGCCACGGCATCTGCAGTGAGAGGAAGGCCATTATCTAAACTGCCCGGAATCCCATGGCAGATCTTTACAGAAAGGCACAAATGCACACTTTTGATGGTCTCCGCGGGGCGGGGAGGGAGGGGGGGGGAGCTGACTTTGTTTGTTAATGCCACAACAAATGTGTCCTTGAATGAGGGACTCGACAGGACACCTGTCTCTACATTGAAACTTGATCGAAAGCAAGTCCAACCCCTTCTATTCTCTCAGGAGTCCCCACAGTTTCTAAGCTGCTTAGTCCTTTGTGATTCAGTAACTTCTATGGCAGGAAGACTCCATCCTTGTTTCTTCTAGAGATAATCCTCCCGTGGTGCAGCATGAACCCTCAAGGAACGGGCTGCCTTCCAAATAGAGAAGGATCGTTGCCTGAGTGGAAGGACTTGAGAGAAACAGTAGACGCATCCCCCCATGACACCCAAGCACCCCTCACCACCACCAAATAAAATTGTTTTCCTATCTCCTGTCACTGATGCTAAAAATTCTACTTTGGAGGCAGTGGCATGGGCAGGCAGTACTTCCTAAACTTTTTCAGCCCAGAACCCCTTGAAAATAGAGTAATGGTGGGGGTAGGCGCACAACACTGTGGATTTACTATAAATTACTGCATTGTGCATTTTAAAGTGGTGATGTTTGTGTCATATAAATTAAACCTCCATAAAAATTAAAAAAAAAAAAAACCCATGAAAACAAAACAAAAGCGAGGGAAACAGCCTTGGGAAATTTGTCCTTGTGAGGCCTGAAGGGCCGGGACTCAAGTGCACAGCTCTATGTAGGGACTCTCTCGTGCTTGCTGCATTCCACTCCAGAGAATACCTCCACTTGCCATAGCTTTTGAAGGGTGTTAAAAAAACAAAATTCAACCAAGTAAGTATGTAAATCTAATTGGTTTTGTTAAATAATTCATGAACCGGGCAGCATCCCATCTAGCAAGTAGAGATGCTCCTAGGAGCTGTACAAAATGGAAGGTTTTTATAAGAAAGAGGGTGGGGCAAGAAATTATTAGCAAAAGAAAAGTAAAGCTTGTTCCAGGCCAGAATTTTCTCTTTTTTTGGTTTTGGAGCAGAGGGGCTGGGCGGGGGTAGACCTGCTCGGGTTTTTATCATATAGATTATCTTACTAGTGCTGATCAGGACAATTCAGATTGACGTTTAACAGGTCACATTCCTTGGGGCACCTAGGTGGCTCAATCAGTTAAACATCCGACTCTTGATTTCAACTCAGGTCATGCATGATCTCAAGGTCATGAGATCCAGCCCAGTGTCAGGCTCTGCACTGGGTGTGGAGCCTGCTTAAGATTCTCTCCTTCTCCATCTCCCCCTGTCCCTCCCCCACACCCCCATCTCAGTCTCTCATGTGCTCTCTAAATAGCTGGATAGATAGAGGATAGATAGATGATAGATAGATAGATAGATAGATAGATAGATAGATAGATAGATGATAGATAGATATAAGGGTCACATTCCTAGGATAGGTTAAAACTATAATTAAGTCTTGGTTTGCTGTTGTGGGGGGCAAATGGCTTCAATTTTGGCTTGTTTTTCTTTTTAACAAGGGTTAAAGTTATTTACCAATTAAAATGTTTAACTTTTATCCCCTTATTTTTCAAATAAAATTGAAACCCTGGGAAGATGTACCTTAGCTTCCTCAGGGTTTCAGAACCTTGTGGCAGCACTACTCATTTGTGGGCTGGAAAAGCATGTGAAGAGAACCAGGCTTACCAAGATGTGATCTCAATATGTGGAACCAGGGTGTGATCCTAGGGTAGGGATCCCAGGGTATGATCCTAGGGCATGGATTTTAGAATCCGATCCTTGCTGTGGGACCCTGGTATGTTCAGGTCACTAAGAGCATCCATTTCCTCCTCTATGAAATCAGGAATCTAACAGAAACACACCCAAACAAAAATACACTTTATATCACAGAAATAATTGGCAAAAAACAAAGCAACAGCAATGGCAGCCCCCAAAACACCACATATACACACATTCATACTCACTAGAGGATCTCTCCAGATTTGAAAGAGCTTATCCAAGGCAGGAGACCTAGGTAAGCAAAGAACAAATAAACAAACAAACAAGAATAATATTTAATGAAAAGTTTCCAGGTGAAGCAAGAAAGAAAAGTTCCTCCCCCCAGTCACAGAGACCCGTTTGGGCCAAGGTTAGGACAGACTTCTGCAGATGGAAGAAATGTCTTTTCCTCATTATGAGTTCAGACGACATGGTCACGAACAAAATATCTTCAGGGCAGTACTTACTTTAATAGGTCAACTGGTAAAAGAGGTGATTATATCAAACAGGAGACTGAACTTGGAGGACTCACGTCCATCATCACCCATCAAGCCTGAGCTCACGGCAGCCTCACTTCCTGGGCCTAGTGTGCAGGGGCCTGGGGCTCTCATCAGCCTCTACTAATGGTGGTATGGTCATCTTAACGAGGAGAAGGGCAGGAGCAGTACATCACTTTGATACAGGTGGGCAAGGAGCCCAGGCCCTGCTCTTCTACATGGCTTCTTTGGAGCTTCTAGCTCCCTCCAGGGCCTGGACAGGCTGAGGCAGCACTGCCATCTGAGAGGGCTCCTCAAGCCCAGATGAGGATGCAGAGAACTCAGTCCCTGTTTCTCCCCTCCTCAGTGTTCTCTGACCCTCTGCCCTGAATGAGGGGTCAATCGGATGCCCAAAGGGGCATCACATTCTAGAAATGCAGTGATTAAGGTCTAACAATTTCAAGAGAAGACATAGTGGGGAGTATTATTCTACGTTTGTGCTAATATAATTCTAAATGGTAAATTTAACAAGACCAGAAAACCACCATTCTCATTTTCCTGTACACACTGGGCAAGATTTATATTTGCGCTCATCAGCAAAGCACTGCAAGGACATTTGAGAGAGTCACCGGAAGGCAGTATTCACAGGTGGCATGATGCAAATGTGGCATTGCAAGTAATGATGGATCCAGCATTAAGTAACAGGTATCAGGGCATCGCAGAGACCAATGGGTCTATATTGTTTCAATACACACCGCTACAGCTCTGGGAGTCATAACAGTGCTGCTACCTTTCCCTCATGATGAGGGATAAGAGAATAGCCTGGAATAGTGCATTTGACAAGAAAGAACAGAAAGAGATGGAGCCAGGACACTCCCAAGCATCCTCACACACACTGACAGAACAAGAAACAAATCCGTAGGACCACTTCTCCGCCGATTCATCTATGTTGCCCTCGCTAAATCACCACCTCACACATGAGCCCATGAGTTTTGTCATTCTTTGTTTTGATCAAATTGTTTATACAGATAGCCCCATGAAAAATATTTGCCCAAGGCCCTGCACACCCTGGAGATTCCTTGGGCAGGGGGGAGTCATTCTGAGGCAGAGGAATGGGGTTTGTGGGGAAGAGCTGGGCAGAAGCCTGTTTAGGAAAGTGTGTTCAAACCTGAGGACAGGAGAACATGGTTATGAGTGGAGGCTTTTGTTCCCTTCAAATAATTATCATGTGCCCCTCCAAAACCTCTCCAAGTATGATAAAAATAAAGCGTAAAAAAAGAAAACTGAACAAAATTAAAGGTTTGAACACTTTAGGTTAATGTCAAAGAGGAAGTATAGCAGAGTAGTTAAGAAGAGTAGCTTCCAAAGCCAGTTACCCTGAGCTCAAAGTCCACCTCTGTCATTTATAGTCATGTGACCTTGAACCTAGCTGAGCCTCAGTACTCTGCTCTGTAAAAATGGGGCAATAACAGGACCTCTCATTGACATGCTATCTGTATAATAAGTAACTCTCATTGACAGACTATCTGTATAATAAATGCTTGCTCAATCAGTGTAAACTACTATTATTTGTCTGTAGAGGGAATAGGCCAACCATATTCAGAAAAAAAAAAAAAATCCCAGACCTGCTTCTATAAAATTCAGTTAATTATCCCATTTATCTTTAAATTTAGTATACTTCAATTTTTTAAAGTGTTTTTAAAAGGATATGAATCTTCCAATATAAAATCACACTGTATCCTAGTAAGGATAGACAAAAACAAATCAATTCATAGCTACAAACACTGTGATCTTTATAGAATTGCAGAGATTAAAAGAATAACTTAAATTTAAATCAAGAAAAAAGGTTGGGGATCCCCGGATGGCTCAGCGGTTTAGCGCCGCCTTCAGTCCAGGGGCTGATCCTGGAGTCCAGGGATTGAGTCCCACATCAGGCTTCCTGCATGGAGCCTGCTTCTCCCTCTGCCTGTGTCTCTGCCTCTTTCTGTGTGTGTGTGTGTGTGTGTGTGTGTCTCATGAATAAATAAACTCTTTAAAAAAAAAAAGAAAAAAGAAAAAAGGTTGACTACAAAGCAACAGCATTGGGAGAGATGATGGACATTTCCAGAACACAGTGGAATCGTGTCTTTAATGTAATGAGGGAAAGCAATTATCACCCTAGTATTCTATACCTAAATGGTCTATCTTTTAAGAATGAGAGTGAGATCTTTATATCTTCTATTTTTACTTACTCTAATACACACAGCATAAAAGCACAGGGCATCCCTAAATCCATGCAAGTTCAGGTCTTCTCATGCCTTCTGTCCCTCCACCAGTAAGACTGTCACCCCTAAACCCCCTCAGTATGAAAACTGGCAGCCACCTATGTGACTAAAGAATGTATTGAGAATGCCTGAATCCACACTCTGGACTGAGAAAAGCATACAAGTTCAGGGGGTTTTAAGCCCAAGTATATTTGCTCCCTATGCTGCAGAAGCTGATAAGCAAAAATTCTATGACCATTTATATAGAACCACATTCCAACTATTGGGGCTCCAAGCCCCTATACCGTTGGCTAATAGGAAGTTCCATCTTTTGTAGCAGTATCCTCCCTAACCTTTAAAGATCTCTCAGAAAAAAAAATAAAAATAAAAATAAAAAAAAATAAAGATCTCTCAGAATTTACATGTGAAATGCAAATGTACCTCCATCTGCCCCCCTACTGGTCCTAAGAAGGGTCATGCTCCTTCCTAGTGTGCCCAGGAGGCCCCACATAAAAACAGAATCTCCGCCTGCACCCTCCCTCAGCTCTCACCCCCCCCCCCAGTGCCCTGCCTGCCTCACAGATGCTCCTCATCCCCTCCCCTGTGGAGTCCAGATTACCATTTTCTGGCTTCCTCCAGGCCACTCTGATACCACTGCCCCGCCAGAGCAGAACTCCCTCTGACCTCGGTGGCCCCTCTCTCCCCAGAATGGGCTGCCTTCCCCTCCTGAGACCCAGTTCCCTCCCAGAGCCACGTGGGCCCCTACTGATACAGCCCTGAACCCATAATTCCTAAAGGGCTTTTTCAAAAGTCATTTTGTTTCTGCTACACATTAACCACAAAAGAACTAATTCTAAAGTTAAAAAAAAAAAAGACAATTATGTGAAAAACGGCTCAGAACCATGAAATAGATGCTGATTATAAATATAGGCTTGAGGCATTATGAAATGAGGCAGCTCTAAATTTTCAAAGAACAAAGAGAAAGCAAGAGGACTTTTTAAATATCAAAAGGACTTTCAGGTTATAATTAGTAAATTGACTAACCTTTTTAAAGGTAAAAATGAATTTCTAAAGCCTAAGGCATTCATGGGATTCTAGAATACTGTAAGCCTAGGAGATGGCCTCTGCCCACCTCCTCATTTTGCCAATGAGAAGACAAAAGGTTACATGACTTTCCCAAGGCCACCAAACATGTTTGTGGCTGTCAGAATTTGAATCAGCGCTCCTGACCGGCTTCTTCAGGTCCTTTCCACTCAGTCTACAATAGAAGCTACGTTCCCAAATGCACAAGGATCCCCAGAATTACATGAACAAATGCATGGATGGAAGTGGTTGCTGTCGACATGGTGGTGGCAGAGGAGCTAGCAGGGCTGGTGGTATATACATGTGCTGAAGGGTGAGGACAGTTCAAGGGCAACTCAAGGGCATGTCAGCCAAAGCTGAGATTCAGTTATAACAGGGTCCATCTAAGAAATTGATGGACTGAGGAACAGGATGCAGTGGGTATAGGCAAATCAATTAAACGTATTGATTAACAAAATGAAATAATACAGCAACCAAGTAAGCAACAGGGTCATAAGGATATCTCAGTGTGGGATTGCCATGCATTTGTGGCTATTCCCAGTACGGGGAACACCTCCTAACAGTGAGGCTCCTTGACAGCACACATTGTGGAAACCCAGCGATATCTGGAGATTGCTCCTTCCATGCAAGGCTCTCAGGTAGGCCTTGCCGACACAGGGGTAAGCAGGAAAGCAAGACAAGTTTCTGCTCTATACCCTATCTTTAAAGGTTTTGCTTTTTGGTTTTTGATTTTTTAATCACAGGGGGCAGTGGGGTCGCTTGGCTGAACGAGACGGGTCGCCAAGACCTGCCCACCAGTCCTGGAGAGGCCCTACAGGCTGGAAGAACCCTGGTTGTCTCTTGGAGAGAAGTCACACACCCTTGAAGTCTGCGTGTAGCCATCTGCTTTGTGGCCCACAGTGCCACCGTGTGGTAGGCACCCGTTGGCTGATCCTGCACAAAATCTAACTGAAGCACTAGCAGGCTTTAAGCCAACAACAGATCACTTCGGGGCACAGGCCCCGAAGCATTTTCTCTGTGTGGCTACCGCGCTGAACCAATGCAAAGAGGCACTGGAGCCTTAGGTTGCAAGAGACCTTATGACCAGCTCTAGGCCCCAGTTCTCACCGATCTCCCCTCGTAAGGTGGGCCCGTGGTCAGAACCAAGGAATCAGTGAGCAGCAGGTGGTTCTCTGCTGCTTGACCCAGGCCGCTGATGGGTTCTGTGGAGTAGGAAATGCAGCTTCAGCTTCTACAGGAGCCTAGCAATGACCAGCTAGTGGCAGCAGCAGGACAATTCGGATCCTCATCCTCCCCTGGATCAGGTTCTTCAACTCGCCACCCTCTCGCCTTTATTTTAAGTCCCCTCTTACCCCCTTGGAAATAGTTTTCTCTTTGGTACTTTGCATAGTTTAGTTCCACTGTCTTGTCTTGTCATTAGGTAGAACAATGTATGAAGACACTCCCAGCA